ATTATCTGAAATTACTTTTGATGGAGATCAATATTTTATTATATATATTTTAGAAAAGAATCTGAAACGATTTTACTGGAGGCTCTTTTTAGGGAACTATTTCTGCTCACTTAGAAGAATGATCTACGATAACTAGTAAATGTCTATTTTTATTGATTTCACAAATGGGTATGGCCCTAATAAGGCTAATTCAACTAATTCATTTCGAAAAGGAACTGTTTATGCTATTTAGATACCCCGCCGGGCCTACTAACGTAACTAGCTGGCATCGTTAACTATGAACGATGTATTTAACATAGTTAACGATGTAATTAACATCGTTAACTAGCTGGCAAATACGGCACGACCTAACATACGCACTTACAAACTTCACAACAACTGCAGAAAATGTAACGTCTTGCGAACTGGCTATGCTGCTTTCCTTATCCAAGGTGGCTTTAAATTATCGAATCATGCAATTCTTGTAACCTGCTTAACCTTAAACTGTGTCGGATAACAAGTCTGAATTCCTAATTGTGATTAGTAGTTTTTGCATAAAATAAGATATTGTTAATAACTTCATAATTCGCGATTCTGTTCTGGTGGTCTTAATTTCCTGATGTTAAAAAATGATCAAGATATTTTAGATAAGCATAAATGTCTTTAAATTCGGGAACCCTTTGTAATGTTTCACGTGAATCAAGGGTTTTCGCAGTAAGCATAACATTTTCGGTATCTTCGTATGATGCAAGCGCTGCTCAGATAGTCTATGCGTCATCAGTCGAAACAAGTAATAATCAGAAGGCCTGATGAATATATCGGAAGGGAACATTATTTCTAATTTTGCGTTGTCATAAAACAGCTTGAGAGCGATTTCTGCTACTAGGCTGCACCTAAGCAAAAGCCCTATGCGCAGCGTTTCGTCACATTTTGCACGTGGAATGCCTCTATCCGTTGTGATTTGAATTTGTATTTCATTCAAGTAGGCATAAGTGAGGTCGAAGACGTTTCAAAACGTCATGCCACCACAACGATTTGAAGGTTCCTTGAACTGGTGACGACAACATTAGGCTCTGCTTGTTTCTAATTACCGTGTTCCGCAAGTGATTCAGTGCATGATTCATAGTCCTCTCTGTTACAAAACCATATTTTCAATTATTTATGAGTTCATTAGCATGAATGTTAAAAAAAATTATTCTTTGCAGCATTATTCTTTCGAGAATTTTCCCATTTTTGTTTTGCTTTTGCACAACGATTTGAAGGTTCCTTGAACTGGTGACGACAACATTAGGCTCTGCTTGTTTCTAATTACCGTGTTCCGTAAGTGATTCAGTGCATGATTCATAGTCCTCTCTGTTACAAAACCATATTTTCAATTATTTATGAGTTCATTAGCATGAATGTTAAAAAAAATTATTCTTTGCAGCATTATTGCTTGTCAGTGCATGAGAGTTCACATTATTTGAGAATTTGGCTTTGCACAACGATTTGAGGTTCCTTGAACTGGTGACGACAAAATTAGGCTCTGCTTGTTTCTAATGTGTTCCGTAAGTTGATTCAGTGCATGAATAGTCCTCTCTTTACAAAACATATTTTCATTATTTATGGTTCATTAGCATGCTTTGCAGCATTATTCTTCGAGAATTTCCCATTTTTGTTTTCTTTACAACGAGAAGGTTCCTTGAACGGTTTAAAAAAGAGCAAAACCATATTTGAGTCATAGCTAAAAAAAATTTCTTTGCTGGAATTGTTTCGATTAAGGTTCAGGCACCATACCCTGTAAAAAAAAAAAAAAAAAAAAAAAAAAAAAAAAAAAAAAAAAAAATTATTCTTTGCAGTATTATTTTTTCGAGAATTTTCCCATTTTTGTTTTGCTTTAAGAAAACGGTTTAAAAAAGGAGCAATTTTTGTATCCTCTGGAAATTGTCGAATTTCCCAGGTGCCCATCTAGCCCTGTAACTTTATTCGCGCTGAGATTTATCATTATGTCATTTATTGCCTCTCTTATTGGACAATGGTCAAAGTCAGCAAAGGTCAAACCATACTTTTTTTCAATGCTAGTTCGGATTTCCATCTGGCCAATGCTGCTTTGACAGTTATAGCGTACCATGCCTTTCTGTTGCACTGGTACACATTGGTTTTTTTTCCAACATTCCAATTCAAGCCTTTGAAATCTCCCGCTTGCAGACTGCGCAGTTTTCCCTGAAAATCAGTCCCAATATCTCTCTTCAAAGCATCCTCGGAAAAAACGCCTTAAGGCTCAAATTCGAACTCCATTCGTCTGCTAGCATCGAATTTCGCCTCTGAATTTTATTTGGGGCACAGGGACTTCTCCATTAGAGTAATGGAGAGTATGCGATTGCCGTATGAAGAGCTTGTTTGTTACTTGCAAGTGGGAACTAAATAAATTTTTAAGTAAGTTTCGTCACTCCGTCTCCCATTTTGCTGTCTCCGCGTGTTTTCTCTTGTGCAGGGACTCATGCTTGCCGCTTCAATGGAAAAAGCGCAGATTCAAATTTCAACATGTACAAGAACTTCAGTATTCCAAATGTTTCACGTAGTTGTAATTTTTCCGGTCAGTCATTAGGAAAAGAAACGAATAAATGCAGGATATGGCATTTATTCATTACAGACACGCTTCCGCCGCCACCGAATACCTTATTTATTCGCGTATATCCCCTTTTTCTTGCTTATTTTACTGCTTGGAAACAAGGAGGGAAAAATTACGCGGTGTATACTACTCCTGATGAAATGGCTGAATAATAAACATAGTACACATGAGAGACATACCAATATTATTATATTATTTATTTCAATGAACTTTTCAGTTTCAGACATGTTCTTTTTCACTTACAGAAAATACTTTCTTAGTTGTGCTTACAGTTTACATTGTTACTATAAATAGAAGTTTCTAAATCATACGCTAAAAAAAATTAGAGAAAAAGGTATGCGAGGGTGAGAAATAAATATAGTATATTATCACATATGTTTCTTCTTATCCATTATATTAAAGAATCTCGGGGCTAAAAATTAAGACAATTAAGTATGACGAACACCAGTTTATTTATGAATTAACAGACGAAATAATAAAAGCGAGAGAGTTTCTTAGCTACGTAGCTCGCGCGAATCGTTCAAAATTCTAACTGTAAAGTTGGTTGTGTCACATGACCTATTAAAAAAAAGGAATGTTTATATTTTTCGGCGAATGTTTACATCCTCCCCCTCTGGCTGCGATGTCGTCCCGAGGAGGAACCAGCAGTATGTTTCCTGGGACGTCCTTTTCTGCGAAGACGTGATGAACTCGAGTCAAAGCAAAACCGAGGAATAGTAAACATCTAATGGAGTATGATGGCCACCTTAAGGCCGAGGAATGATAATGGGGTATGTGGCTCATTTAAGTTTGAAACCTCATAGGTAGTCGGTGAGCGTCGAGTCATAATAACGTAAGGGCCATCTTACTTGACTAATAAATACAAAAAATTGCTCCTTTTTTAAACCCTTTTCTTAAAGCAAAACAAAAATGGGAAAATTCTCGAAAGAATAACTAGACTTAAACTTGCTCCGTCGAGATTTCGGTTCGGCGTTTTGGCTTCGGTTGGATTTCTTGTTTTCGGTTCGGCGGATTTTCTCATAGGATGCTTGGAAATCCAAACCCGATCTCCAGTTTTGATTCCTAGATTCATTATATAACTTTGTCTATCCAATTGGTATCCAGGTCCTCGACCCTGCATGAGCATATTATTTTTGGTAGTCTTTTTTCTTTTCAACTAGTTCCTTTACCTGATTAACTGTGATGGAAAATCTCTTCAAATAGTGGGTAATATCTGCTACAAAATTACCATTGGAGATAACATGTCAAAGATCATGTGTAACATCGTCCGGCGTACGTAACTGTCTACCAAATTGGAGTAATGCAGCAGTTTGGCCAGTGGTTCGGAATTTTCAATTAGTCTCTGAAAAGTTGCCGGAGCAGTCTTCAGTCCGAAAAGCATTCTAACGAATCGGAAAGTTCCCAAAAGGGCAAACAAATGCTGTTTTGCCTCTGTCTGTAGGACAAACGCTGACTTGATGGTACCCAGATCTAAATCAATGGTTGTCGTATGTGGTGTGTGTTTAGCAGCTTGTAGTAAGTAATGGATACGAGTCTGACATCGTAACAACATTCAGTCCTCGGTAATCAACGCAAAGTCGGACTTTTCCGTTTGGTTTGGGCACGAGAACCACTGGCGCAGCGTATGGAGATTCACATTCATCTATTTTCTTTTCCAGCAGTTCATCAAGCTCACTTCTTTAAATTGTCCTTTACGCTTTGTGACAAAATATTTCGTCATGTTTCCACCGTGCGCGCACAATTTAAAACGCTCTGTTGCATAATTGAATTCCATATTTAATATATAGCTTTTATAACATTTGGAAACCGCTGTGAACCAGAAATTCGAAGAATTTCATGTTAAATTTTTATTTTATTTGGAGTTGAGTTTATAAAATGTATTTTATTAAAAAAGTCTAATGTTTTCGTGCATAAACTTTTTTAATATTGAAATATTCATCAGATTTTTGGTTCAGTTAGAAGATAGTGCCCATATAAAGAATTCCATCCAATTTCAAGTATGAACCATTAGCCATTTTTAAAATATCATGCTCGGCAGGTGGAAACATGACGTGAACGCATAAAACATTTTGTCATAAAGCAGATTAATTTATAAAAATATGTGTGGAAACACAAACTTTATGGTTACTAGTTCTCAAAGAAGCTATGATATGTAGTTAGCTGTAAAAAGTTGGAAGTAATTGGCTTTTAAAATAAATGAAATATCCCAATTCTTGTAACAGTCACATGTTCGAAGGTCTTAAGATCTTATCTTATTCGAAGATCTTATAAATTTATTATATTTGACCAATTTAGATAATTTAAAATTCTTTTTGGTATTATTTTTACATTAGGATCAAAAGAGTCGTTTGTAGTGTGGTGAAAACGCCTCTGTTGTATTTTAGGTTGAAATGACTGCAAACTCAAGTTATAAAACAATAACCAGAATTTTAATAAAAACATAAATCTAAGAAGCTTACATCAATCTGGTACGCGCATAACAATTCATCTAATAGTAAGCGGTTACAAATGTTCTATGCTAAAACAACAGCAGACTCGGAAAGATTAGTCTGTGCTAAATCTCTTAGCACAACAAAATACTCCAAGCAGAGCGATGCTACACCTCCAGTATTCTCAGTGACCATACGGTCTTCTAGTTGGGGAAAGCCGGTTCCTTGAACTTGCAGACGATAAATCCTGGAAGAGGAAAATCTTGGACGTTCTTTGGCAAGAGTCTTTTTGTCTGGGAACTATTTCCTTGGAGGGCCAGATAAGGAACACCTGAGTGACCTTGTCACACTAGTGCTGTCTTCCGGAAAGCACGTCCTCTATGCTTTAGGGGGAAAAAAAAAAGTGATTGTTTTCGTTTTCGATATTTTGTTTACATAAAAACGTATGTTTTAATTAAAATTAATAATAATAATTAAACTGTTATATTTATTTTATGTGCTAAAATGTATAAAAATGGAGATGCCTCGAATCAAGAGAAAACAATCCTTCACCAATGAGTATGAAAGCAGTGACGCCGAATATATGACTCAAATAGATAACGAACTTGAAGTAGTGGGAGATGATACAAGTTTTACTAAAGCGTCTGAGCCATTGTTTTGTGTTCCTTTTCAAAACGAGACCGATTCTGACGAAGAAATTATAAGAAAAAGAAAAATTAGAAGGCTTATAAGCGATGATGAGGATAGTAATAAGCAATCATCTATTTCTACATATAAAAAGGCAGTTTGTTGGAAATGATGAAACATTATGGACAAATGTCATCAATTAAGACAATTATCATCATGACATAAAATTCTGAGTTGGTGAAAATGTTGTTGGGCCAAAAGTTCCATTCAGCTGCACATCACCTGTAGAATTTTTTGATGCGTTTTTCCTAATTCGACCGATCATGCTATATGCAGTGCCGGCCTGGGCAATCGCCAATAAAACTGAGCTCAAAAAACTGGATATACTTCAAAATAAAATTCTACGTAGCATTGTGAATGCACCTTGGTACGTGAGAAACTCTATAATTCATAACGACCTAGATATTCCATCTGTGCATAAACTTTATACTCATGACAGCTCACAACATCTTCTAAAAGATGAAGCATAGTCAGTATAACGCAATTAAACAAATGTTGGATTATGATCCAACCATTGAATACACTGTCAAACGCCCAAGGACAATTCATCACAATTCATCATGGTGGTAACTTGTAAATTTTAATTTAACAATTTACTTGAACTCTGAAATTGGACTCTATCCTATTATTTTGTTGCATCCTATACTTGTGTTAATCAAGAAACTTTTTTTTTTATTCAAGATTTTTATGTTACTATTTCATTTTAAAATTATTTCGTATGAATTTTTACTTTATCGTATGATTCTACGAACTTTTGAACTTTTTACGGCCTATCTAGCTACTGCATACTTCTGAAGGACTTTGAACTCTTATGCCATTCTTAGTTTCGAACTGTCTTCGCGCCATTTTCATGATGTCTCACTACTGCTTACCCTGCACTCTTACTAGCTATATTGCACTCATCATCTGCATTTGCCATATAACTCAGTGCACCTGCCTGCATGCTTCAATTTAATGCCATTGCTTATCACTGCACAATTTTTATGATGAACGCCTACTTTCGTAAGTATTAAGATACGTCTGCTCACGCAGCTGAATTTTCTTCCCCCACGGGTGTTGGTACTTCCCTAGTACCATTTATTTGGAAATATCTTTGCCTAGTGCACTTTAATGCGATCTACTGGCGAAAACTCTTTAGTAGTTAATGACCAGAAAAAAGTAAGTCATAAAGGTGTTTTTCACTTCTACCCTACTGAAAAAATAGTGAGTGAAACTAATGAATACGCAGCAGAAATAATATCAGAAAAAACACCGAGCAAATATTCCATTTGGCAAAATTGGAAAGATGTAACTGCGAGTGAAATGAAAACCTTTATTGGTGTTGTCATAAATATGGGCTTTGTTGTTTGTCCAGCTTCGGAATCGTATTGGTCTCAAGCATTTCATTTGAAGATGTCATTTTTTAGAAAGAAAAATTCACTTTAAAAATATTTTAGTCAATTTTAATCATTTGGAAACAATTTCACCAAACACTCAAACGACCGGGACAAGGATAGAAAGAGTGAGGAACGTTCTGGATTACCTAAACCAAAAATTTATGGAAAATTATATACCTCGTGAAAGTTTGGCAATTGACGAATCTACAATCTCGTTCAAAGGGAAAAATAAACTTTCTCATGTACTATAACCCTAAAAAACCAACAAAATGGGGACTTCGAGTTCATGTTTTTAGTAGATTCTAAGACTAGAACAGATGGCTTAATTAGACCAGATCTTAATTTCACTAACAGAATTGTGATGCAACTCTATCAAAATTTACGGAATTCGATTCCTGAAGCCGAATCGAATATCATATTTTTACTGACAGATTTTATACGAACCCCACTTTAAGTGCAGAACTTCTAAAGCCAACTGCTTTGTTATTGGAACAATTATGACTAATTGAAAAAGATTGCTAGAATGAATTAAAAAGCCCAAATTAGCTATTGGACAGAAAATCGCATATAGAAAAGGAAACACGTTAGTATTGGTATGGGGTGAGAAAAGAGTGGTCACAATGTTTAGTACAAAACATGCTTCTATTTCACAACTTGTGAGCAAAAGATCAAAGACGGCTGAAAATGCCATTCAAAAAGGAATAAACAAATCGACTGTCGTATTAGATTATAATAAGAATATGGGTGCCGTAGACGTCGCCGACCAGTATGTTATATCCTATTGTTTTATGAGGAAGACTTTGAAATGGTGGCGAAAGTTATTTTTCTGGGGATTAGAAACTTCCTTTGTGAACGCATACATTTTATTCAATGAATATGTTAGGAAGGAAAATATCAAACAGATGTCACATACAAAATTTAGAGATAATTTATTGATAAGTCTAATCAAAGACTTTCGCGTTCCTACCCAAAAACCCGGCCAATTGTCCATAGATAATACTTTCCAGCGTTTAGATGGGAAGACTCATTATATTTTTGCCTTATAAAAAAACGCAAGGTCTGTATGGTTATGTTCCAACTGGAAAGAAACAATATTCTGCTGTGATACTAGTGATAGGAAACTCGGTTTTCATCCAGGAGAATGTTTTAAAAATATCATACTTTGAAAATTATAAATAATTAAGGTAAATAAATCGGTTAAATATATAAATTTTTATTTTTTTACTTATTTTTTACTACTTTTATTTATCTTACTACTTAATATAATTGGAAAAATATTTGTTACGCATTCTGTCCTGTTTCAATACAACGTTTTATTGAGACCCCCATTTTTATCTATTTTATAAATGAATTAAAGAGTTGTTTGTTAGTAAAAAAAAATTATAGAGTGGAAAGGGTTAAATTATACATAATTTTTTGCTGCATTTCATGTAAACATATCTTATCGAACTTCCTTAGACATATTTCTCATTCAGTTCTCACTTCGCGACAAGGGTGTTGGTGTATTTAATTATGGCAAAGCACACGAGGGCTATCTGCCTAAAGGGAGGGATGCCTTTCGTGGAGGACTTTCTAAGGGAAACTGGCTCGTATACACGTTACACATGGGGAAAACCACGAAAACGCCCATGCAGCCAGCCCGTTCGCGGGATTCGAACCTCAGACCGAACTACCAGTGTTCAGCGTCTTTACCGCTCGGCCGCTGGTGGGCCCCTTCGCGACAAGGGAAAAATACATAAATCCTCAACATATCTTCATAAAAAAATTGAAAAACGTAAAACACCAGACATAGTTAAAACAATTAAAAACAATTCTTGCAAATAAAATTAGAGTTTCTACGCAAAAACTAGCAGTTCGGCCAATGGGCGACAAGTCAGATTTTTCAGTGCACAAAACTGAAAGTTCATTTTTGGTCCCACTCGCCAAAATGGCACTGATGGTGCAGAAACTGACTTGTTTCACTATTCTGCTAAATTTCAAATGTAGACAAACCAATGGGACTGCTAAGTTAAGCTTAACCGCACTTAAACAACATTTAAATTATTAATAATTCTACAACTATTGCATGCAGATTAATTAAAGGCAAAAACTTTAACCGGAAAAGAAAACAAAATTCAATAACTTTTAAAGCAAAAAATGCACAATTTACCAACATATAAAAAATGAGCTCATGAAGCCGAGTAACAGAGTGGGTGTGTAAATATATCTTTATATACTTTTGGTGCTGCCGATTGCAATCAAAAAAAAAAAAAAAAAAAATGCAGAACTACATGTTATAGCAGTCCTATATACAAAATGTCAGCCTTCTGAGGCTACTCGTTTTTGAGTTATGCAAGATGCGTTCGTACGTGCATTCATATGTCCTGAATTCATTTGCAATCCGTTTTGGGAGTCCTTTATTCTATTCTTACGTACAGATGTCACACAGAAACATCATTAAACTGCATTCGATAGCGTTCAAAATAAATATTTTCGTTGAAATATGATACCCGAGATTTCGACGGAAGAAAGCGTGCTGAATAATATAAGACGTTAAAATCTGATTCCTTTCGGATTTTCTTTTTTTTTTAAATTTTTAACTAACTTCGCTAGGAAAATTAATTTTTTTGCATGTTTTTCTATAAGGAACGCTTAAAAATTTAGATTTCGCATCTTTTAACAAAAAGTTACCAAATTTGTCTCAAATTGACAATCTATTTGATTCATTCGTTAGAATAAAACCATGAGGTTATATTTAGTCTTATAAGACACATCTAATCGTACTTTATTATGCTAGTGGGAGCCCTGTTTAGGCAAAAACCCAGAAACTGATCTCAGAGATCTGGACTGAGATTCAATCTTGATGAATGGAAAGTAAAGAAGCAAAGATAAAATTAAACTGTGTGTATTGGGAAATAGCCTTAAAATATATAACTGACAATGATGATCATTTAAGTTGTATATAATTCAAGGCAACGTTGATGAGGGGAAAATTTTAAAGATGTCAGCAGTTCAAATCTGTTTTAACGTAACATAAAAGCGATGTACTTACTCTTGCCTAACTACAACAAAGATTATTCCGCAAGCTGTGAGGGGAATTTGTTTCCTAATTAGTTTATATATGAGGCCACATTTTAAACATTTTCGTTATACAGTTACACTGATAGGAAATTAAATTTCAGCACCAAGAAGAAATTAGCGAGTCGTCTTTGCGCGTGTGAAAGACGACGTGTATTTAAATTTCGCGCACGATGAAAGCATTTGACGTTAGTATCGCCGCTATGATCATACAAATCACGTGTACTTTAAATACGCATGAAAACTTGGTGTGTTTTATTTAGTTTCTAGATTGGGCATTGTGAGGGAGATTTGAGACTTTAAGGAGACGACGGAGGCAGTACCAGCATTTTACTGAGTTTCAACGAGACTCTGTAATAAGGCTGCAAGAAGGTGGATTTGGATTTCCTTTTCGTAACATTGCAGAAAGACTTCGCGAAGATGTGTCCAGTAAGTACATACTGGCAGCTGTGGTCACAAGAAGGTAGTGTCTCAAAAAAAAAAAAAAAAAAAAACAGGGGTCCAGCCGCACACGTACCAACACTCAAAGAAAAGATCACTGTATGTCTGCGTGGCATCGCTCTTTATATGCAATAAAGATTCGAGCTTTCGTTGACACGAGAGTAACACAGCGATTTGTAACAAATCAAAGGGTAGCTTGTAGTTGCCATGCCAGTAACTCCAAATTGACTCCATCTGCGACTTAGGTGCGGGTCAAGCTTATATCCCATTGGAGGGCGGAGTGGGGATTTATTGTGTGCTCAGATGGGGGCCGTTTGTGCCAGTGACTGCCGTATGGTGGTTACGAGGCCAGGGAGCGCTTGGAACAAAGCTGTCTTCTGCGTAGACGCTGTGGAGCTACACCAGGAATTACGATTTGAGGAACAATTTCCTATGACAGCAAGAGCACTCTCGTCATTATCCCACTTACCTTAACAGCAATGTTTTCTTTAGAAATTTTTTTTTGTAGTTAATGCCCTGGTTGTGCTGCCGTTCTTGAGCAGTATTCCTGAGGGCATTTTCCAACAGGATCACGCTAATCCATATACCGCTCCTACCACCCGTGCTCTGAAGAGTGTGGACAGTGTTAGCTTTGTCTACAAGATCACGAAATTTTTCTCCCATCTAGCATGTATGGAACATGATTGGACGACAAATCCACCGTCATCCACAACCAATACGGACTGTTGCTGATTTCACTGACTTAGTGCTATAAATAGGCATGGAACTCTATCCCACAAAATGACATACGACACTTGCGGTGCAGGCTTGCATTTAACACTCGTGGCGACTTAAAGAGGTTACTAATGAGTCACAATTTCATATTTTAAATGCCTCTTCTCGTCATACTTTAACCTGTGACTTTGAAACATTAATCAAATAAACGTGTTACCTAAACAAATGCGCTGCGTACATTTCTTTGTTTCGAAGCAGTTTCTTCTTGGTAGTGGGATTTCATTTCCCATGAGTTCATTGTCCAAGCAGTCTCAATCTTGTGAGCCCGAAACATATCAAACACGATGACCACTCTTCAAACTTGTAGTAATGATGCTATAATTACATAGCTGCATCATTTCGTTAATATTTCAGAAGAATACATTTAAATATAACAAGCGGTAAGTGGCGTAAGATCGTTCACGATATGAATTCTAGAAATAAAAATTTCCTTTTCTTTAGCTAACCGAAATAAAAACTAATATTAAGAAGCAACTAAATAAAATAACAGTTATATATTTAAATAAATTAAATTATTTTGAGAAATAAAATTTCTCTTACTTCAGTTATTATCTTTTTCTGGCATGTTTTCTGATTATAAAGACATATTCTTTGCTTGAAAACTCTGAAAGATAATGATCTGGCTAAAGCGTGACTTTACCTCCTTCGATTTCATACATATAAGCACGCAGTAAACTGGATCCGGAGAGAGCAGATGTCATCGTTGAAGGACAGTCGTTGAAGAAAAGCAGCGCTGAAATTTGAATTCCTCGAGTTTTTCTTTTTACCTGAAAAATATTTAGAAATGGATTTGAAGTTTCCTCTTTGAAAATTGAAATAAAAGTCTCTAGTACTGGGATGTAGTTTAGGAGTTTTAAGTTCTTTTGTCTCCTATTTCAAGGTCAAAAGATGATGTGCATCATAAAAATACTAGCAGAGACGCAGTATAATTTAGAATTTGTTTTGAAGTTTCAGACTAATTAGACAGAAAGATTTCTTTTGAAGATTACGGAAGTAAATTAAAGTTGAATGATATAAATATTGGTTACAAATCAAAGTGTGTGTTTTCGGTTTGATTTTGATTTGGTAAAATGTTTTTATTTTATACTCATCGGGAATTTTTTTCTTTTAATTAATTAAAAGAATCCCTAACCCACTCGTAATCGAGTCTTTTAGGGTACCGCGAGATAGTGCATCGTGGAGTTTTGTCTTAAAGTGTGTTGAGTCGAGAGCTGTACTCTTATGTATCGTCGAATGCATCGCGAGTTGTAGCGTAGATGGTTTCGAGAGTACGTGGAGTTCCTAGAACGACCGAGCAGAGTCGAGAGCTGTACTCTGGCGCTTTGCAGTGAAGCTGTCTCCACCGTTACAGCCTGAAGGCTGTGTCGCTGATTGTTCCAGCAAGTGTATAGTAGATTTTCGACGACTGTAAAACGTGACTTTGGAGCTGTCCTGATTAATATTGGCTAAATAAAGTGTGTTTCGATACACTTTATTTAGCCAATATTAATCAGGTGTCGTCGTTATTCACTCCAAATCTACAAACCCCGTACGAACTTGTAAAGGAAGAAAATAACGTAACAATATGTTTTATCAAATCTACGAACCCCGTACGAACGTAAAGGAAGAATATAGCGTAACAATATGTTTTATCAATGATAAAACTGAGTATATGGTACCAAGAGTATCAGGAAATTCATTCATAGTAGAAAGAATCTACAGTACATGCTCATCAATACTTGGCTATCATGGTAATTAATAATTTCGCTTCGAAATATTGAAGTTTAATTTTTTACTTTATGTGGATGCTGTTTAATTTATGGGTAATTGCAATAATGTCAAAAAAAAATCTTTACAGGAATAAAACTGCTTCTTCTGCTTTACTGGAATAAAAACGGCTATTTTGCGATAAAAAAGCATTTTTAATAAATGCTTCTGAAACATTATGGCCCAAATAACGTTTTCAATATGATATTTGGAATACAATTAAGCCTAAATTATTTAGAATACTCGTACGTTCGTTAAGGGAGGATTTTACTGCAGAAGAACCTAATTCAATCTCACATTTGTTTTGCAAATTAGTGAAATATTCTTTGATACAAAAATGCTTTCTTTTTAACGTATCTTAATTTTTAGAAGTCTCCGACAACATATTTAAATGATTTTGTGAAAAAATGCACTATTTATCTTTTAGGAAAGAGAATGACTTGATTAAACTGCATCACATCTAACAACAGCCAGAATGTGCAAAGTTGCTGGAATCGGAGTAATGACATTTTTACAAAAATATCCAATACGGGTATCGCACATGCAAGACGAATTATACAAGACACGTACCAAGATCGTCATATACATATAAATGTGCACTGAAATATAAAACTCCATCAGAGCTTGAACAGTTTTATTCCAATGAAGTTTATAATCTCATCATAGTAAGAGAATCTCTTGCTGTTGTAAGAAAGCGGTAACACAGTTGTAACAGTTGCACAGTTGTAAGAAACAAACGTGATTTCTTGACCACTGCTACTGATGCGTGGTTTTGTAGGAATTTTACTTTGAACTGGTTATATCCTTCAAATACGTGTGAATGTGACTACTGATTAAATCCTGAAGACCTTGGCATATTACCCTGATGAAAAATGCCATGTCACGAAACCGCTTCAAAGAGTTGAAATCTTATTTACACTTTGTGGACAATGGAACTTAAGTCAGCATCTTCAGGATGGTAATCCTGATACCCATGCACATGTTTCTCAAAGGCACAAGCCTTTTTTAGGGCTCAACAAGTGTCGCATCTTACACGGCCTGCTTATAACCTGGATATGTCGCCCATACCCATGCACATGTTTCTCAAAGGCACAAGCCTTCTTTAAGGCTCAACAGGTTTCGCATCTTACACGGCCTGCTTATAACCTGGATATGTCGTCCATATCCATGCACATGTTTCTCAAAGGCACAAGCCTTCTTTAAGGCTCAACAGGTTTCGCATCTTACACGGCCTGCTTATAACCTGGATATGTCGCCCATACCCATGCACATGTTTATCAAAGGCACAAGCCTTCTTTAGGGCTCAACAGGTTTCGCATCTTTCATGGCCTGCTTATAACCTGGATATGTCGCCCATTGAGGTATTTCGGACTCGGAGGATATGTCGCCCATTGAGCATGTCTGGTATTTTATAAATCGGGAACTCTCTCGTACAGCTGGTGGGGCACACACGAAGACTGAGCTTTCGCTTCGATTCGAAGCCTATGGAATGTCATTCCCGAGAATCACATTCAGAATCTGTATGATTAAATGCCACCACACGTACAGGCTGTCATCGCTTAGCGTGGCGTCACACAAAGTACTGATATCCGACGTTCGTTTTGTTTTTTCTCGTGTAAATTTGGATCGTGTCCAAAAGTCGATCCAGTCGATCTCCAAAATATCAACTTTACTATATTTACGTAATCCAATATTTTAATGAGTATACTAAACAGTTAATGTTATTTGTGTAACTTTGTATGTAATTTCGTGTTATTATCCTCTTATGTAAATGTAAGAAGTTCGATGTATGACGCCAGCATTACTTAGAAATAGCATATAGTCAGTTCAAGTTTTTCATACTCTAGATGGTAAGTGTATTGAGGGAATACCTGTTCGATTTTATAGTGACGTTTCTGGTGGCACGTTTACCTGTGTACCTGTTCAGGATTGTGTAAGGACCGTCCCAGGATGATTGCAGTTTAGGATAAAGTCCTTTCCGTCGAATTGGATTCCATAACCACACCTTGTCACTTTTGTTAAATTGATGTCCTGCAGCTCTTGTGTCTAATCGGGTCTTCATCTTCTCCGTCGCCAAGTTGACTCGTTGTCGAGCAAAATTGTTATCCTTTCAAACTGTGCCTGCAGATCTTGAATGTACTCAGCTGATGAAGGTGCATCCGGAGGGCGATCAAACAATAAATCACAAGGCTGAGGAAGGGCGTCTGGCATCAGGATAGCAGTACGGTGGGCCAGTATAAACAAAGTTAACTTGTTGTCCCAGTCCTGTTGATTTCTGGAAGCAATTAGCGAGAAGTTATTAAATATAACTGCCATGGCTGTAGTTATAAAGGTGTCGTTTGGGTTTTATATATGACGAGTCGTTTACAAAGTTCTTTTATTACAGTCGACATAAAATTCCTTTGTTTAGAGTTCGTAATCGAGGAGCAAAAAAGAAATCGGTAGTTTATCCTTTGCATTCTGGATAATTTATTGGTTGCATAACACTTATTATGGTTGGCGGCAGAAACACAATACATCTGTTTTACATAATTCTTAGTCCATTTTATACTTTTTTATCTGACAGGCCTGAATTCCGGATTTAAATTGAGACCTTCAAAAGTGCCTTTGTTTTGATATTGGCTGTTACGAGGGATTTTATAGTACTCGATTTAAATCACCGCGTTTGCCAGTTAATTCATCTCAAAATATTAAATTTCAAGTCATATTTATAGGAATTTAAAACAGATAAATCTTCCATTTTCTGCAAGAAATTTTTAATGAATATGAAGTATGGTGAGTTCCGACAGATATGAGAACTTCATACCTTGATTTCATAAAGTTTAGTGAATTGTTTTGAAATTTCGCGCCATTCTGTCTTCTGAAAGTCTGCATTTCAGCTGCCCGACACGTGCTAAATCCATTGGAGAGATACCTTCCTTTTACGAGTATTCTGACATCAGAGATGCTCGATACAGACCATCGTTATCATCAGCGTAAAAAGTCTGGGCCAATAGCATCCGTAGACAGCCTTACATATGATTCTAATACTTCATTCACATATTTGTAACCGATTATAAAACCTACAGGAAAGCTATGTAGTTCGGGTGTAGATATATTTGATTATTCCACCTCAAATCATACAACGCCTTCCATGGATTTTTATGAACAAGTTAATTCAAGTTACGTGTTCCTGGTTCTTTCCAGTTGCCTAGAGCGACAATTCAGGTTTTATCGGGAGTCGTTAATAAACAGTACAAGCTTCCATTCCTCTTGGCTAAATTGAGGATGAGGACGGCACCATTCTAAAGTGGATGCTATGAAAGATGGGTGAGTGAGACACAAATTATATGTTTTCTCGTATTAATTCAGACTTCATGCAGCAATAGAACGATTGATTTGGATTCCTGTGTTACCAGCTGTTTTTCAATAGCTTCGAGAATGAGAGGAATTGGTAATATTGGACATCTTTGACCAAGCTGTTTGAAGGTACAGATATGTACATTGTGATCTTGGTGCCACCTCTGTTCGTCTGAAGTCTAAAAATCAGTTGCGAGTTTTGGCTTTTATCTGTGAACTAATGCGTATTAATTACTCTCAGAATGTAGATTAAACATTGCTATACATTTAGTTTTCAATATGCATGCCTTGCGGAACATGTTGTTAGTTGCGTAAACTGGAAGATATGAAGCAAAGGTAAAGGGAGAGGGAATTGTAGTTTTACTTAGGTTTTCAGATGATGAAGGCGATTGGACACTTGGTCGTAAGATTACACATCATAATTTACTTAAATATTGGATTATAAACTTACCCCACATCTGGAGCTTTGGAAGAAGGACTTGTCCAAATGACATAACGGGAACTAAAGAAGAGAAAAGAAGTAGTATTAAAGAAAAAAAAATACTTGAATGGATGAAAACGTGTGAGAAGCAGTTCAGGCTACGGTGGCGAACAAAACCGAATCTTCGCGGGGCCCCGCAGAAAGGTAAGTAAGGCGAGTCACTTTGGGAAAACGGTCTCAAGTTCGAACCTCAGGTAAGTGAATATTATCAAGTAGTACTCGTTAAGTAAAATACAATGTAATTATATAAGAAATATGGTGCATTATTGATTGCAGGCATGACGGAAGAAAGTGGAACAAGGAAATGAAGATGGAAAAAAAAGAAAACCGGGTGGCACTGGAGGATAGCCCCGAAGATGTTAGGTTTACGTTATTTAAGAGAGATGTGCCACCCGGGAGGGGCTTTTGGAAAAATTTTTTCGTATCTCCAGAAATTTGTAGCAACATTTTGGATTTTTATAGCAATATTTTGAATTTAATTTTGAAGTTAGTTTCTAGTAGAAATAATATTGTTGTAGACATTTAGTGAGTATCTGGGCTGCTGTTATTATGGGCAATGTATCTGATACAAGAGAAAGTTAAAATAAAGTTGTATTTCACGAATAAAGAGTCTATATTGTTTATGTTCATGTTTTATATTTAATTATTTATCAATATATTTTTTTGGCATTCTGAAATGAGTTCATCTTGGAAGGTTAAATTTATCGTCGTTTAGAGATTTTTAGACATTTCCTTTAACTTCTTTTCGTTTTTTTTTTGAATATATGAACTTGTTGGTTTTATGAAAATAATTATAAATTAATTTTATGGAATCGCTTCATGTTGTTGTGTGCATCACTAACAGTAAGACAGATGGTGTCAGTAGTAATCGGAGATACTCGGGTGACGTTATAGTAAAGGGGCGGGACCGTCGCCATCTTAAATCACGTGGTAACCGAAAGCAGATCGAATGACATCATCAAGGTTTCGTTTTTGTTGTGGGGCAATGATAATATGTTTTCAAAGTTTTTATTCTTTTGGCAACTAGAACATGTTTTTAGGTTTTTTTTTTTTTTTTTTTTTTTTTTTTGTGACAACAAGAATGTTTTTCTTTTTTGGCATGGATTTCATGAACCACTTTGGAATGACATCAGTTTCAATTAATTATTTTTAAATACTGATTAATATTAATCTTTTTTAATTATTTAATCTGTCATTTTTAATTATTAATCATTAGCTTTAAGTAATTTTTTATTCAATTTTAATATTTTCCCTGACTTTTAAGAATAATTCCCACGGACGGGATACGAACCTGAAATGGGAGATTTGAGCGTTACTACAAAGCCATACTTCTGTCTTTCGAATCCTGTTATTTCACTTCCCCCCCCCCACCTTTTTCACCTTGCTCACTTCCTTTGTTCATTTGGCCTTGTATAGCGGAAACTGCCGTGATGTCACTAAGCTGACAGATTGCGCATGCGCGAACCTGCCTTGACATGGAAACCGCTTTACAGCTTCTGCAACAGCGAACGAATACAATCCTAACGACCAATCAGGTTCTCGATAATCATATCCTTCGTATTTCAAATACTCACACCAATTTTTTTTTTTTTTTCCTTTCCCCATGAAGTGCGCATAGATTTCTTTTGGCTTTATAAATCATTGTTTTATTCTTTGCTGTTTTAAATATAAGCTTTTCCCACAGTTTAAATTTTTCTTTATTATTTAAAAATACTAAACTCAGTGGCGCAACAGCCCTAGTGGGCCACGATTTCCAGTACCCCGAAATCTGATTTCTTGACTTAGGGCCCCGGAGTGCATATGCCCTGGACAAATGGCCAGCTTGTCGCAAGACCCCCGGTGTTTAGTCTCTTGCGAATTTGGTACTAAATTTATCGACCCACTTAAGGGATGAAAGGCTGAGTCATGCTTGCCCAGTCCGGGATCGAACCCCGGACCTGTGGTGCGCGACGCGCTAGCCACTCCGCCACCGGGCCTTTATTGTTTTTATAGGCATATTTTTATTGCTTTCTTTTCATTCTTACTGAATTAATTTTTTTAATTTTGATTTTGCAAATGTGAATTTTACAGTCCCAAATTAATTTTTCAAAAATTTTATTTCTACAAAAGTAAATTTATTTTTTATATTTACTTTTCACTTTTTTTTTTTTCAAATTTTTTCCTTTTTACTTTTTCTCCTTTGAAAAAGTTTTTTTTATAATTAAACTTTTTTTTTTTTTTTTTTTTTTTTTACAAAAGTGATATTTATTTTTGCAAGTTTCATTTTTCCTTTTCGATTTTTATTTTTTAAAAAAAGTTGTTTCACATTTTTTTCACTTTGTTTTAAAAATGTAATACTTACTTTCATAATTTTTTCACTTCTGTGTTTTCACAAATGCAATTTTTTTTTTTTTTAAATTTTTTCCTAGTGTATTTTACTTCCAAAAGTAAATTTAAATTTTTTCGTTTTTATAAATGCAAATTTTTCTCGTTGCATTTTTATTTTATACACCCTTAAATTATTTCTTGCATGGCTGTTTTCGTGTTTTTCCTCATGTGTAACGTGTATAGTTTCCCTTAAAAAGTCCTCCACGAAAGCATCCCTTCCTTAAGACAGATAGCCCTCGAGTGCTTTACCGTGATCTAATAAACCAAACCTTAAATTCTTTCTCTTGTTTTAAATACTTATTGATCTCCATTTCTCCAAAGTAAACCTATGTATATTTCTTTGTCTACGAAATTTAAGCTAGAATTTACGTACATATGATTTCACTCTGCAGGCTTTCATGAATAATACTTTCTGGAACTTTAAATCAGTACGTACAAAGTTCATTTTATATGGTTTAATTGAATATTACATTTCTTATTTTTTATACTGCTGAATAAGAGATACTCAAAACTTTTCCTTCTAATGTTTGTACTAATTAGTAATGACTGTATTAACTTTTTGGAACACTTGTAGGGTTTCTATTTATTTTAACTAACATTTATTTTAAGTTTAAACTATCTTTCCTGTCAAGCCTTACTTTCCCCTGGAATTGCCAATACCAGAGTATGTAAATTTCAGTAGAACGCGCAAGGATTCAAATTGTCAGCGGAAGTACTCTGAGTTAAATAGAAGGGAAACGAGTTCGAAAGTGTGCTTTCTTGCTTTACGAGCGTGGAGGTGGCTAGTTAGAAATTGAAGAACCACGCGTTTCGGCCTGTGTGCTTGCCTCGGCAGATTGTTAATCTTTCAACGTAATATTCAGAAGTTTGCTGAATTATCAGCGGTATCTTAGAACGCGGTGAGGTTAGTTACGTTTAGAGAGCCTCATAGTTAGTCACTTGTTACTATTCTTTTCTTAGTTTCTTATTTTTATTTTACCGCCGGGTCGGCGTAGTTTGTGAGCGTCAAGAGCACGCATTTGTAATTTATAAAGTTGAATAAAAAGGGATTTAAACCCTTCTCAAGACTTTGTCCATTTCCCAGTTCTTAGCAGTCACCACTATTGTTGCGTGCAGGTTGGAAGCGCGCAACATTACACACTATAGAAAACATGGCGGATTCTCTTTTACATATCTTACTTTTATTCAAAGGATACACCAAACTATGTCTGACAATTGTAAATTTTACATTTTCTACTTTATATTTATGCATTCCTCTTATATTTAAATTTTATACTGCTTTTAGAACATATTTATGCTCTATTTCTGATTCGTTTTCCCGCAAAATAAATACAGATTTACACAAGTTTTTCTATTGTAAGACCTACTGACTATCTGAAACCACTAAACATTTTCTTAACTTTCAAATTTTCATGTGAAAACATCACTTGGATTCTTAACGTGATGCCAGCTATCTACCGCAGAACATCATAAACACTATTATAGTCGAACTTACCACAGCCTTGACTTTCTTAGCAATGTACACGAGATGGAATCATTTTTAACTAGACAGAAAAACATCCACACTGTAACGTATTTTAAATTTGAATTATTCACATTTGTGAAGGAGATTTTTGAAGTCTATAATACACCTAAATTATTATTCAGCCATGGAAATGAAACTTTATCGTCTTTTCCCCAACTTTGAATATAAAAATGTCTCAACTTAGAATATTCTTTTCAGGCAGTAAGTATAATCATTAATTTTTGGTAGGTCTCATAGCTTTTTAACGTATTCGTTTTGACTTACCTCAAAGGTACCCATATTTCAGATTCACAATAATTTATACTGAACTCTTACAGCCTTTTGAAAACGAAATTTAATTTATCATACCTCGCAAGTAATTACGTAATTATTACATTACACTAAATATTGAGTTGCAAATAGTGATCCAGCATAGTAATTAACTTCAAAGATTTAACACAGCCAGTTTAAGACAAAAATTTCAAACTGACATTATATTTTTTTTCAACACTGAACTCTTGCTGCTCTTTGAGAACATTTAACATTTACTTTCTCATGGATAGCAAATAAAATTATGCATAAGCATCATACATAGCATATAATATTGACTTGAATTTCAAATAGTAATCGAACTTAACTTAAAATTTTAGCACATTCTTAATTTATTATTAATTTCAAACTGACATTGCTTAATAACTAACGCTTAGGGCTTTTTTGACATTTACCTTCTCAAAGATAGCAAATAAAATTACGCGCAAATATTATACTAAATAGGTAATATTGACATAAATTCCATATAATGATCTATAGTCATCAGCTTCAAAAATTTTAAGGCATTTTAGTTTGTGACTTAACATAAGAAAGACCGCACTTTCAAAAAAAGCATTATTTTAATTAAAGATTGGAGCTACACAATTCTGCGCACATATATAACATTTTATTTATCATGAGCGTCACACATAATAAGTAAATAAAATGCTTTTCACAAAGTACGAAACACATTTCTCTTTTAACCTGCTGCACTCTTAAGAAAAAAAGAGGATGAATGAAAGATATAAAACTGGGATATACGTACTTTAAAATCAGTTAAACAAGATTCAAGTGCAACTATTCAAACAGGATTACCTCACAAATTACATAAAAGATAGGC